GCGAGGCACCCGTTGCCTTTTGGGTGCATCCTGCCCCAGTGTGGTACTCACTGGGCGTCACTGGCCGCATCACTGGCTGTTCGTTGTAACCTGGAATGAGAGAGAGAGAGACATGAGCTGGAGCTCCGTGGGGGGAAGGCGGAGGGCCAGAGGGAGGCAGCAGGAGAGGCCTTGCTCACCGTTGACGTAGAGGCTGGTCCTGTCCAGGCTGTAGGGGCCCAGGCGCGTGACGGCTCTGGTCTTGTTGCTCACTTCGTGGTAAAGGCCCACCCTGTCCAAGTCAGGGCTGGAGGGCTCCTTCCTGTAGCTGCAGACGAGGTCCACGCCTGTGTTGTCGCCTTGCCTCAGGGACCTGCCAAACAGAAAGCCATGCCTGAGCACCTGGCTTCTGCACCTCATTGCTCCAAGGTCGACAGGCTTTGCGGCTGCTGAACGTGTGCGTCTCCGTGAATGCATGCTCGGCACTGCCCGGTCAGGCCGAGCTGGGGCTCCCTTCTACTCACTCCTGCCTCCACTGAAAGTACGGCTTTGTTTCCGGAAGCCGTGGGCAGGAGGAGACTGTGGAGTCGTTCTTTGCTCAACACCATGACCCGAGGGTTAGGGGTCTGGCGGCGAGGGGAGGCTCCAAGGGCCGAGGTCGTGAGGGAGAATGAGAGCAGGGAGAAGGTGTTGGTGGTGACAGAGCGGAAGTGTGGTGGGACCGCGAGTGCTGGCATCTGAGCAGGGACCCTGGGTGGCCACCCCTACCTGAAGGCTGTCGTTGCACATCCAAGGAAATTGGGGCCAATGCTGGTGTCCTTGAGAAGGCGGTTGAGCTGGCAACGAGAAAGGTTTGTGATGAGAAGCCTGCTTGCATCGCTGGATACTTTCCAGAGCCAGTGTCAGGCAAGCTCCCCTTCTGGCCTTGGCAGCGTTGCGGGTTACGTACCAAGGTGGTCATGACCCTCTGGGTGCTGTTGAGCTTTGCCGAGTGAGGAACGTGCAGGTCGGAATCGTAGGGGAGATTGGTGATGGTGAAGTTGACGGTGAAACGCTCGAGGCCTGGAGGTGTGGTTGGTGGCCGAGTGGGAGCTGCAAGAAGCACAGATGGGGAGTGAGAGGGTGCGGGAGGACGGCTGTGAAGGCTGTGGGAGGGCCAAGGCAGTGGTGCCTGGCCAGCTATTTCTCCTCCCCAGCCGTCGCTGTGATGGCAACGTCTGGCAGGTTCTGCACTTGTCCCAGGCTTCACGAGCTCATGGGACGAGAGGCCCCGCGAGGCACCCGTTGCCTTTTGGGTGCATCCTGCCCCAGTGTGGTACTCACTGGGCGTCACTGGCCGCATCACTGGCTGTTCGTTGTAACCTGGAATGAGAGAGAGAGAGACATGAGCTGGAGCTCCGTGGGGGGAAGGCGGAGGGCCAGAGGGAGGCAGCAGGAGAGGCCTTGCTCACCGTTGACGTAGAGGCTGGTCCTGTCCAGGCTGTAGGGGCCCAGGCGCGTGACGGCTCTGGTCTTGTTGCTCACTTCGTGGTAAAGGCCCACCCTGTCCAAGTCAGGGCTGGAGGGCTCCTTCCTGTAGCTGCAGACGAGGTCCAC